AAATATGTTCGAATGTCGGGGTTTAGACAATACTCATTAATAGATTCATGTTCGAATTATTCAATACATACTTGAATCTTTAACAATTATTAATAAATTTATACAATTGTACCAAAACTTTTAAATTTTATGACATATATAATTTATTTATATAATTTACGAGTGAATGATAGACTCGAGTCCGGATCAAACCAAGCATCACTATGTTCGAACTTGACCTGAATAACTATTCAAACTCAAAACCTAGTTCGTGTTCGAGTTCGAAGCTCGTTAAGCTCAATCCATTAAACTAGATTTTAAATCAAGCACAAACTTGAGTATATAATTCAAAAACAGCTCAATTCGATAACAATCTTGATCTAAACTTTGTATGTATAGTAACATTTTTTTTACTTCTTAGCCCACCCCATCTCTCAATTCTGGATCCGCCCCTGCTATTTAGGATGTTTTTACTTGGATTGTTTTCAGTACGAGACCAGGGCAGATCAAACTAGATCAGACTAGCTCATGTCAGACCAGACTACACATGGATATTTACAAAATACACAGAAACCAGACATTTACCAAGGATGTTTTTACTTGGACTGTAATATGTCATAGACCAAGCCAGATCAGACCAGACCAGACTTGAATGATCATAAAATTATAAAGAGAGCAGAAATTACCAGATCTGATCAGACTAAACCAGACCAACAAATTATAGTCCAAGTAAAAACATCCTTTCCTAAATAAAATCACCCGTATTAAATTTATTGTAGGTTACAAAAAGTTGACATAAAAGGATGATACAAAAATGCCCTTGGAATTACTCGTCACATCATCTCAACGTATGTGTATTTTGGATGGCTGAGATTTGTTCTCACTTCTCACGTTAAGGCTTGTTCTCATTTGAACCCAATTCTATATATATATATATATATATATATATATATATATATATATATATATATATATATATATATATGTAGCTTTAATTACAGCTTGTTCTTCACATAATGCCACTACATTGTACCATTTGTGCTGCACATTTCAATTTCACCTAATACACATTACAGCTTTATCTAATGCACATTGAATTTCACATGAAGCAAATCTAACGGTCCAGATTCATTCTCATTTTTCTCATAAGATCATGTTCTTATTTGAACCAAAGCCTATATATATATATATATATATATATATATATATATATATAGAGAGAGAGAGAGAGAGAGAGAGAGAGAGAGAGAGAGAGAGAGAGAGAAGAGAGAGAGAGAGAGAGAAAACTTCATGTCCAGCCGGCCTGACGGGAACCGCCGTCCGGCCGAGGGCATTTCGGGAACTTCCCGATCGAATTTTTTGATGAAATTTTTTTAGCATGTTCTTCATCAAGTCTAGTTTATCCATACAAAATTTCAGCTCAAAATTCGATCGGGAAGACATTCAAATAATTTTTATAAGTTGACTGCGTTTTTATATGTATCTTTTGACGCAGTCAACTTCAAAAAATTATTTGAATGCATTCCCGATTGAATTTTGAGCTGAAATTTGGTATGAATAAACTAGACTTGTGAAGAACATGCTCAAAAAAATTCATCAAAAAATTCGATCGGGAAGTGCCCGAAATGCCCTCGGCCGGACGGCGGTTCCCGTCAGGCCGGCTGGACAAGAACGGGACTCTATATATATATACATAGAGAGAGAGAGAGAACTGCTCAGGTCCAGCCGGAGGGACGGGAGCAGCCGTCCGAACTTCACTGTTTGGGGCGGTTCCCGGTGGAATTTTTAGATGAAAGTTTTTGAGCATGTTCCTCATCAAGTCTAGTTTGTCCATACCAAATTTCAGCTCAAAATTCGACCGGGAAGGCAGTCAAATAAATTCTTGAAGCTTACTGCACATTCTGCGCATATATAAAGTGCAGTAAGTTTCAAGAATTTATTTGACTGCCTTCCCGGTCGAATTTTGAGCTGAAATTTGGTATGGACAAACTAGACTTGATGAGGAACATGCTCAAAAAATTTCATCAAAAACTTCCACCGGGAACCACCCCAAACAGTAAAGTTCGGACGGCACCTCCCGTCCCTCCGGATGGACCTGAGCATTCGTATATATATATATATATATATATATATATATATATATATAGACAAATGATCCTATCCGGACGTCCGGACAGGAACCGCCGTCCGGCCGGCGGTGTTTGGCCGCCTTCCCGGTGGATTTTTTTGATGAAATTTTTATGGCATGTTCTCCATCAAGTCTAGTTTATCCACAAAAAAATTCAGCCAAAAACTCAATCGGGAAGGTCGTCAAATGATTTTTGCAAGTTAACTGGTCCGGGAATGTATTTTCCGGACCAGTTAACTTGCAAAAATCATTTGACGACCTTCCCGATTGAGTTTTTGGCTGAATTGTTTTGTGGATAAACTAGACTTGATGGAGAACATGCCATAAAAATTTCATCAAAAAATTCCACCGGGAAGGCGGCCAAACACCGCCGGCCGGACGGCGGTTCATATCCGGACGTCTGGACAGGATCAAGACTCTCTCTCTCTCTCTCTCTCTCTCTCTCTCTCTCTATATATATATATATATATATATATATATATATATATATATATATATATATATATATATATATATATATATATATATCGAGACTCAAGATTAAGAAGGGGTGCTTGACAGAGATAGACATTGAGAGATATTCATAAAAGAAATACTGAAGCTCAAGGCACCTGAAACTGTTCTCCAGGAGTTCTAGAAATAGTTTCTTCTTTCCCTTCTTCATATTGTAATGGGGTTTTGAGGATTGGCTAAGTGTAGCATCCTCTGGTTGGTGTGTGTGTTGTGAGAGATTTGTTGTAAAGCTGAGAGGCTCTCTACCCGCAAGGTAGAGAAGCATAACTCTTCCTAGGGAGGATAGAGTTGGGGTGGCTCAAGGGTAGACTAGGAGAGTTTCCCTTGTAATCATTCAAAGGTTTTTTAGTGAAGTTGTCAAAATAAGTCCGAAGGAGGTCGAGGTTTTTTAATCCCTTTGAGCATTACAAAAAAAGTGCACATAGACTGCACATGGACCACATATTTTTTTTTGCGATGGCAGCATAACTGTCGTTAAAAACACCATTAACCACACATTTTTTATTTACCACACACAAAAATGTGGTAACAGTTTAGAGACGACGGTTTTTAACCGTGGCCAATGTTTTTACCACAGCTGTTGTGACGACGCACGTAAAACTGTCGCAAAACTGTCGTACAAACATATGGAGGAACATTTACGACAATTTTATGTCAGTTTTACGTGCGTCGCCACAACAGCCGTGGTAAAAACATTGGTCTCGGTTAAAAACTGTCGTCTCTGACCTTTTACCACAGTTTTGTATGTGGTAAATAAAAAAATGTGTGGTTAATAGTGTTTTTAACGACAGTTATGCGGCCATCGCAAAAAATAATTGGTCTATGTGCGGTCTATGTGCACTTTTCTTGTAGTAGAGCCAATGTATTTTTCCTCGTTAAATCCTTGTGCACTTTACTATTTCGCATATCTCTTTACCCCACACTAGAACTGTACTTGGCGAAAAACTGCCACAGTTCCACACACAATTCCCCTTGTGTTGCTAACCGTTTCATCAATCGGACAATCCTTGATATATGGCACAATTTAATCCACATAACCATCCCACAGAGTACACGAGATTTGCTTCATTATACAAATAACAAAATAAAATATTGTGTTGGCAAAGAATATATATATATATATAATAACAGTAGATACAATAAAACAACTTACTCATTATCCTGCAGACGAATTGAGATTTCCTTGTGAGGACATCCCTTCAAAGTCACTTCTTTGATGTCTTGCTTGGGCGCTTGGCTACAACCAACCCAATCACATAGAAAAATATAACGAATCAATGCAAACCAAAACCCCGATCTTAACAATTCCAGTGCACTCATAAAATCTTACGTATTACTCCGTAATAGATTAATTCAGAAATATACCAAAATGCTCGGTCTATCTACAATTTTAAGTGCTAACAATGGTTCAAAATGTCGGAAGCTGTATAAATGATCGGGAAATTTGCCGTCTCCATAGTCCATCACATCCGTCCTCAAGAAAGAAAAGGAACTTGTACTTGTTTGTTGTAGTTTTATACCTTTTGCCGTCAATTAATTAGTCTCACACCCGACCCGACTTGACCCGTCTCTTTCCCACTGATCACACTAGTTGGTAATTTAGATACCGTAATGCTCTGTATATCATAATTGCATGAAAATTAAACCAACATACCAAAAGCGTCCAATATAATCCACATGGTATGTTTATATTAGTTATATTAATCATATACTCCATCCGTTTAAAAAAAATACTTCCAACTTTGATTTGACATGTGTATTAAGAAACCGGAATAAAATAAAACTGTGGTACAGAGATTGTGGTTGAATAAAAGAAAAAAATAAATGAATGTTAGCCGCACAAAACTTAAGTGAAAAATCAGAAGAATTTTTGGGACATCCCAAAATAATAAGTGAAAATTAAAGATTTTTTTGAGACGGAGGAAGCATTTCATTTTGAGAGAATTCTCTAAATTGAAGTAAAAAGTTTTTAAATTCCAAAATAAGACTATCATGTATTTTATTGCCTAAATAGGAGTACATTTTTGTCAAGTTTGGAATTACTAGGCTTTAAACATGGATTTTTTTCAAACATGGCAAAATTATTGATATTTAGGGAATAAAAACATCATAATTCTATTTTGGAATTCGAAAACATTTTTACCTCTATTTAGGGCAATTTTTATTTCATTTTGAAATACTCTAAGTCACAATTTGATGGTCTGATTGCGATTTACGAGATTTGACCTGTGATAAAAGCAAACAGACCACTATCCATACTCAATTTAAGTTTAGTACAAAATTTACATATTCAGAAAGTCATTTAATATTTTATAAGAGTCGCAGAAAGAAAAATCACATTTAATAAAAATTCGGTATATAAAATATGAAATTAAGAGTGGTTTGGACTTTGGATAGACAATTCAATAAGAAACAACATCATTTAATTGGTAAAAAGGTAGTAAGTTCTACAACTCCACACACTAGTGTGTTCTTATTACAACGACAATGTTTTATGTAGTACGAGTACTTCTTTTACACCGTAAATGTTACTCTCTTTTTTAAATATAATAATTGGTGCTTCAATTTCTGTTCCCCGTAGTCTACAGGCCAAGAGTGTAGGACACGCCGGAAGCTTTCAACCACGAATCGCCTTGGAGAAGCTGATCCACCGTGAACGGCTGCGCATCCGCCGCGTTAGTGATGGCGTGGTAGCCCTTCCATTGAACTCTCAGGCTAGTTCCGGCGCCGGGTCCGGTGTTCATGTATTCGGCATAGTCACACGTGTCCAACCCGGCGGTACCACTGAATGGTTCCCAGCCAAGTGGATCTATGTGATCGTCCAGGTAGGACTGCATGTACATGGTCCGGGAGTAAAGTTTCCAAGGCCGGCCCAACATGGTTTTTTTATTCTCCGCTTTAACGGGTTCCAGGTCTGGGCCTGGAATCACTTTACAATTTTGGAAGGATAGGCCCGTGTTCTGGTTTGGGTCGAGCCGACCTTGGGCCGAGATGCAAGTGGGCTGCCCGTGTGCGGGCAGGCGGGCCAAAATTTGGGAGTTCTGGAAAACCGCCGCCCCGTTGCCGAAGATGAAGTCGACGGTGCCGGTGATGCTGCATGCCTGATAGAACTGGCGACCGGCGTAGGCGTAGAGCGAGTCTTGGTATCCGTCAATTTTGACGCGGTTGAAGACGGATTGGTCCGATCCTACCATTATCGCCACCGCTTGTTCCTTGGGTGGCGCCGCTGTGTTTTGGAAGCATATGTCTTGGGCCATGAACCCAGCCCCCAATGCAGCTGATCCAATTATATACAATTAATAAACAATAATTTTCAAATCTAAAAACAAAGTTCTCAAATATTTTTTTTTTAAAAAAACTAAACATTTAGTAGCTTTAGAGCGTCCAATATTCTTAGCTAGAAAATCTACAAAAATTGCTTAAAATAAAAATAAACCGTTATCAAAGTTCTAACGGAAAATTCCCAAAACAGAAGTAAAAATTTTTGAAATTTCAAAATAGGACTATCATTTTTATTCACTAAATAGGAATAATTATTGTTACGGAAAATACTATCGAGTGTAATGTCTGGTACTGTCGAAACATGACAGTAACTACTTTTATATAAGAAATAAAAACATAATATTTCTATTTTTGAATACACAAACGTTTTAGTCCTATTTATGATAATTTCACAAGTTGTAATGGGATTAAGTGTGTCTTGTTCTAAGAACAAAGCCTATATGGCCTTATTAGAAGATTAAAACAATGAAGATTTTCCTAAATATAAGAGAATGTATCTTATTTTAAAAAGAAGATTATGTCACTCATATTTAGGGAGTTCATACAGAGAATTTTCTCAAAGATCTAATGTACTACGTAATGTTTAATCATATTAAGAAACTTTTCACAAAAATCTATGAGAATGGTCCTATATATTTTGATCTGTAATCAGACTCTTATGTCACTAGATTTACTTGAAAATTATGTGTTGCCCAATTTTATGCTTCCTCCTTTTGTATCAGTTACATTTATTTTTTTTAATTTTAATAATACGCAGTAATATTTTATGAAATTAAAGAATATAATACGTACTAATATAAGTAGTGAATAATAATGCAAAAAATGTTAAAGTCAAGATCCGAAAATAAAAAAATTGAAAATATGAGACGAAAATTTGGAATGGGAATATGAAAAAAATAGAACACATACTCCACATTAAAGAATGGGTAAAGTTATATAAAAGTTTTCGAAAATGGAAATAGGGAAAATATAAACAAAGACTTCTTAACCATAGACAAAGCCACTAATTAAAAAATGGGAAAGTTCCCGAAATAGGACTAAAAAGGTTTAAAAATTTCAAAATAGGACTGTCATGTTTTTATTCTCAAAATAAGACTAATTACTGTCAAGTTTGGAAAATAATGTCATGTTTGAAGTCTAGTACTGCCAAAATATGGCAGTAATAAGTCCTATTTTGGGAATAAAAACATGGAAGTCCTATTTTGGAATTTTCAAACTTTTTTTGTCCTATTTCAGGTAATATCTCTTAAAATTTTGGGTATAATTTTCTTTGATATAAAACGTTTTTAATGAGAAATAACGAGACAAAAATACAAGCTTAACAAGTTGCGCTAGGTGAATATTGTGTTACCAACTGTAGCAGTCTCCGACGTGGCTTTTCCGTCATCAACGCTGGCGCTGCCGGTGATAATTGTTGCATCCATCCCGTCGCCGACGAGCATCAAATTTGTCTTCAACTTCCCTATGGAAACCTTTTCCGCGTACGTTCCTTTCTTGACGTATATGACATAACGTGCGGTGCCACTATCCGGCGCGGCGTTAACCGCTTCTGTGACAGTTTTGTAATCCCCGCTGCCGTCGGCCGCCACCACCACATCGGATGCAACGGCGGCGTTCACCCGTGATTCCAATAGCTTTCTTTCTTTGGGGCGGACCCAAGATGGAAACTTGCCGTTGAGTGGCCGGAGATCATCCTGAAGAGATGCCGGCGGGACAACCGCTACAAACAGCGCCAAGGATGACCTTGCCCGGGCGATCAAGTCATTCAGGATGGGCTCCAACGTTGACCGGGCCGGGCCGTCAAGCCCGTCCAAACACGTGTCGTGGTTGGTTAATACGCTGCTCAGGTAAGTATGGGCGTCGGAGCGGGCATTGGCCGACGGGTCCCCGAGCGCCACCATAGAGTCGGTTATCCAGTCAACGGACAAGTCCATCAACAGCATACAAGTATTAAGACCCGATTTGACCTTCAAGCCGTTGACCCTCCCGTTGACATTGGTCAACACATCCATGGCCTCTCGAGTTCGCCGTAAGGACGAGTGTAAAAGCATCTGAAGCAAGTCTACGCCGTTGGATTCTGTGGGAGCGGAGGATGAAACCTCGGACAGAATTGCCATGCATGACGTTGGGTCGTGGGCCCCATTACAGACACGTGCATGGAAGGTGGAGGAAGGAGACGACGAGTTAGTAGTGATGATCCATTTGGAAAGCAGTGCAGCTGAGCTCACAACAGCTACTAAGCACAGAAAGGTGTAGAGAGCTACTTTTGAAGAAGATGATTTTTTATGGGGAGAAGAGAGGAGTGGTTCAAAGGAGGTAGCCATGGCTATTGTTTGAATGAAGTTCATTTGATCAGCACAGGTCCTTAAATAGACACTCTTACACCTTACTACGCGCCAACTTGGTATGATACTCCAAAAAGTAACATCAAATTCGAAACAAAATGTTACTCCCTAAATCCCTATGATTGTCTCATTTATTTTGTACGTCTCACTTAACATACTTTTAATTGGACTCAAATATTTTTGATTTGATCTGCTCTGGTTTGTATAAATTTGATCTGACCTGATTTGATCTGGTTTGGTTTGAATTGGTCTGGTCTGATAAATATATGGTCCATGTATGTTTTAGAATTGTCAAAATCTGCTCTAGTCTGGTCTGTTTAAGTCTAATGTGATTTAAGTTGACGAATTGGCATGTTTAAGTCTAATTTGCTCTGCACTAAAATAAGTCCAAGTAAAAACATTCTTAGTTTGTGTCATACCATATATAGTAATATTTGTATAATTATAATAAATTTTTATTTTATTAACATTTTACCAATTCAATATCAATAACATAATTTTACTTTCCTTAACAATTATATTGCACAATCCTTCTTGTTTTGATTTTAGGGACTGGGTAATAATAAACCAGGGTTCGTTCTACTAGTTTGTACTTCGTATTAAATGGATTGTATTGCACTTTTGTTTGTCATTTCACATTTTATTCCAGTTTCTCCTGATTGGTTTTTTATGAGAAATGAAATTGATCAAATTGAAAAATGAAATTAATCAAATGCAAGCACCCATATAATAAAAAATTCATATAAACTTGAAAATATAATGTAAAAATAATATTTAAAATCATGAAAATGAAAGAAAAATGATTAATAATTTTAAAATCCAAAACAAAAAAATAAAAAAGCAGAAAATGAAGAAAAGTTAATATGTAAAAAATATTCAATAATAATCTAAAAACTTTTAAAAAGATGTAAAATTTAAAAAAAAAATCCAAAACGGAAAAACATGGAGTTTGAGATTCTAAAAATGTTTAGATATTTTATTTATATTTATTTGAATTTTAACAACTTTTTAGAATTTTATAAGTTAAAAAACTTGCTATTAGAGGTTAAAAACCGGTTAAATGGTTGGATTGAATTATTTTTTAAAGTAAGCGTATTTCAATGATTCCTTTTTTAGTTGAGGGGTTTAAATGATGCATGTATTAGAAGTAGTAGAAGGGTCATTTGACCATTTTCCCTATAATTTACAATTGATTCATACCCTTTAATTTTTTAGTAGAGGGGTTTAAATAAATCTAGTGAACTAGATTGGAGATAAACTTTGTGCAAATCGAGTAAGTTTAGGTAAAACCGAAGCGCATACATAAAAATATTGTTTGGATAATTAGGTTAACCAAGATAATAGAGTATATAAAAACTATTTAGCTAACCGTAATGTGAACATTATAATCCCATGTTTTAGTTGTCTTTTTAGAATAGTCTCATCTAATTGTAATATGAAAATAATCCCACATTTGTACTCATCTTCTCTCTTTGGTTTCTCTGACTGGTTGATAACTTGTTATTTTAGGTTATTTTCTTCTCTTTTCAAATATTAAAGAAAGAATATACATTTTACAAATCTACCAATAACAGTCACATATCATTTTAATACTTTCTCCCTAAAAATTTTCGCTCTTCTCTCACTAAGCTACAACGCTTAGGTCAAAATAATTCTAGACGCACTAAGCTAAGCAAAAAATCAAACCACCCCGTCTTTCATTAATGGGAGTGCATATTTCAATATCACCAAAATGTACAATTTAATTATGCTCACTTGACCAGAAATACATACAACGTATATGTGTGTAATCTTCAAACTAGACACTATCCGTTGAATTGATCTAAACGCTTGACACACACAGTGACATTTTGATAATCAAACCAAACTTTTTACAGATGCAACATTTTGAGCGTTAATAAGCAACTGTATATTTCACCAGCGTTAATAAACAACTGTATATTTCACTATAAAATAATACGTAGTATGCAATACTTTGAACATATGCAGTTATACGAAGTACATAATTCTGTGTCAATAATACATCTTTTTCCCACTTTTTTTTTTAAATCTAAAAATTTATTTACTTTTTTCTTTTTAAGACTCACATATTTACAATGATAAAAAAAAGACTCACATATTTACACAATTACACTAAGAAGAATTTCAAACAAAAAAAACCATTCTTTTTCAATATTCGTCCTCCTAACAACCTTCAATAGAACCTCAAAACACTCATAAGACAATGTCTGGTGATGAAGAAATTAAAATTGTCATAAAATTGTCACACCAATAACAAAATAACAAAGAAAATATTTCACAATGTGTTGTTAATGGTGTATTCAAATTTGATGTTGTATGTTGAAAGTTAAGAATTCACCACATATTCCGCTCAAAGAAATCGTGTTTAGTATGATAGTTAGAAAATTGTCTCAAACAGATTAAAAATTAAAATTAACATGCATTTAATAATTTTAAAATAGGATTGTTATATTTTTATTTCCTAAATATCAATAATTACTGTCAAACTTTGAAAATATTGTCATTGTACTTATGACGGTATATTGTCATATTTAAAGTATGATAATGTCATAATATAACAATAATTTTTTTCAAAATGACAGTAACATACTCCGATCCTATTTAAGGGAAAATATAACAACCATATTTTAGAATTCTCAAACGCTTTTATTCTATTTAAGGTAATTTCCCTACTACGACAGTACAACAAACATATTTTTTGATAATCAGGTTTTACATTTTGTGTAGCGTTATGAAATAGGCCAAAGTTAATTTAATGGATATGTAAATTTGGATTGGTCCACTTGTTTGAGCTTAGCAGATATCAGCCGGCACCTGTTTGGCTCACTTGTTTGTAACCAGACGGACAGAAAGCTTTGTGCTTTCTTCTCTTTTGTCTTCTATTTCTCGGCTTTGTACCTTAAGTTTCTCCTCATTGTTTCATTTAATCGTGAGCTCAGAGACAAACACTATAGGTAGCAGGTCCGAATTGTGGACACATCGGAAAAATTGGGACACATATTCAAGCTACAAGAGCCATCTTCCGACACAAGTAAAGGATTCTCAATAGGAATAATAAATATCTCAATAGGAATAAATAAAGAGATTTTCTCTAAAATATTACTCCCTTCGTCCCATTTAAAGGTTCATGTTCACTATTCTCCGGTCAAGGTAGATCATTTTTAATCCCTAAATAGGATTAAGAACGTTTTGAAATCCCAAAACAGGATTATCATGTTTTTTATTCCCTGAATCGGAGTAAATTTATGTCAAGTTTGTCTTTTTTAGTCCAGGGGGAGGGGGGCTGGGGGAGCCTGAAGTAATGAGGGCTGAAACTCACTCCATGAGTCTCGAATCCTTATGTGACTAGCGGGTTTCGAACTCGAGACCTCCAACTAGGCACGGTGACCTCACAACCAGCTGAGCTGGAATGCTTGGTATTACTAGGCATTAAACATGGCATGTTTTTCCAAACTTGGCAGATTACTCTTATTCAGAAAATAAAAATATTATAGTCCTATTTTGGAATTTCAAAATGTGTTTACTCCTATTTAGGGCAATTTCTTTTCTTAATCTTTTACTTTATGATTCCAACTTTAATTTTTCTTGATCAGATATACAGGTTTTGGTTCAGGTGAGAAATGTATCTAATGTGAGAAATGAGAATGAATCTCTGCCATTGGATTTACGAAGTTGCACTAAAATTGGCTTTATGTTGCAGTAATATTTAAATTTTGCACATGTTGCACTAAAACTGTTTCATGTTGCACTAATATTTGACGTCGTACGTTGCACCGAAATAGCTTCATGTTGCACTAGACACGTGTAATACGGATTTTTCAGAAGTATTTACAGAAATGCCACCGTGCTAGATTGCATATTTCAGTGGATCATTAAGTGTCTTTTACTGCAACTTAGTCGAATCCAATGATTGAGATTTATTCTCATTTCTCACCCAAAGGGTTCTTCTCACTTGAACCTTACCCCAGATATACATATGTATACATATGTAGTTTTTGAATATGTAAATTTTATTTACTAAAAAAATCTTATATTAATGACATGGATTAGTTAACTTTATTGTCAGTCAAACATCATAAACCGCGTAGGAAACTTTAAGTGGGACGGAGGGAGTACTAATAAAGATTATGAACAAAAAAATATGACTAATGAGTTTTATAGTCATTACGGAGTATGATGTAACATTTGAATACAATTATAGTCATTAAAAGTTAATAGCGTCACATTTTTATCCACTACTTTTTATTTTTCGTTATACATTTCAAATTATTTCATAAATATTTACTTATATATGTAGAAACAGGAGACGAACTAATTTCATTTGTCCCATTCATTATTCTACATTTAAATCCTGGGAAATTCTATTCACAAACACAATTTTACTAAATACAGTCACATTATTTTATAATTCCTATTATACCCATAAGCGTGATTGCCCGTCCGTAGCTCATACAAATTCTATTCATATCGCTGCTTCTCCAAAATCGTTCACCTTTCCCTCTTCAATCCAACGGAGGTTGGCTCAATCTAATTTTTTTTGTCTACCATCACATCTCCGGCATAGCATGCTACCGTCTGTACAATTTTGTGTGCAAAAAAGGATGATGGGTCTAATCTGTTTTGTCAAATGGTTTTTTATTAATTGATGATAAGGGACTGTGGCTCCTTGTGGACGAAGAAAACAAGGATTGTGGTAGGCTTCTGCTCATCTCCAGAAATAATTTTTCCTGAAAGATTTGAGAAAATCACAGGTCGCTCAGACAAGATTCATCAATGGCGTACAATCATGCTTTGTGATCACTTGAACTTCAGAATGCTTCAACACATTTAAAAACGTGTTTGGATGGTCTCTACTAGTTGTGTATATGCATATAACTAAGAGTTAATTTGAGAGTGTGAAAATTACATTTTAATTCCATTTGTTTAAGAGCCACAGACCGCCATGGAAATTTTTGAGGAATTCGTCTGGAGTC